TGAGGTACAGTAGTCCAGTGACAAGGGCCAGAAGGCAGAAGGGGACAAGGAAGCTGGTGATAGGGAACCCAAGGTTGAGTAAGGATATTGTTGATGTATTGAGATTGTTAACCATTGTCATAGGGCAACATGTGTAGTAACTGTTAAATGAGAAACTATTTTGTTCTGTAAGCCTTCATCCTAAGTGAGAATAACCGCACAATTGGAAGAGCGTAGTCAATGTCACTGAATTGTGCATGTAGAAATTTTTGAAATTGTATCTTTGGCTATGTGTATTTTCACCAAAAAAAAAATGTTGAGAATTTAGAGGTTTAATATGTTGTGGGGTTGTTAACCAATGTCATAAAACAACATGTGTACTACTGTTTCATGAGAAACTGTTTGTTCTGTAAGCCTTCACCTGAAGTACAATAAAATATTTTTAAAAAGGAAAAAAAAGTATACATATTGTATGATTCCTTTTGTTTAGCAGCTGTAGCTCACCATAGCTCTTAACCACTGCGCCACCAGGGCTCCCCCACTTATATTAAATACCCCAAACAGGCAAATCTATACAGACACAAAGTAGATTGGTGGCTGCTTAGGGCTGCGGAAGGGTCAGGGAGATAAAGGCGATGATAGCTAAAGGGTATGGGGTTTATTTTTGGGATGATGAAAATGTTATGCGATTAGATAATGATCGTTGCACAATTTGGTGAATATACTGAAAATCACCAAACTGTACATTTTAAAAGGGTGAATTTTATGACATGTGAATTATATCTCAATAAAGCTATTATCTTTTAAAAAAAATTGGTGAGACTGTTGTAACCAAAGGAACTGGGGAACCATCAGTACTGTTTCGGACTCCCAGATTTCTGGCTCAGGTGTCTGAGTGGATGGTGGTGCCACCAGATGAGATAAAGCAGGAGCAGGTCTAGGGGAAGACAGTGGAAGACGATGAGCTCTGTTTTGGCCACGTCAAGTGTGCCCATGCAGCAGTGCTAAGGGGGAAGTCAGTGTTAGAAGTGACAACTGGGATTTATCAGTAAACATGTGGTCACAAAAACTGAGTGTGGATGAAAAGGGAAAGAGAGAAGATGGTAGACAGGGAGGAAACTCAGGTCCAGGGAGCACATTTCTAAGTTGGAAGACACTTGAGGATGTTGTCTAGGTTGGGGGAAAGAACCTAAAACAGCCAGGGGGGTTCAAGGCATATAAAACAGCAGGCGTGATTGATCCAGTAATGTCTGGGTGGTGATGGAGGGACGGGGCTGGACTTGGATATTGGCTAGGAGGAGTTAAGGGGTCTTAGGGGTATTTGTTGTCAGATGGGCAGAAAGAGTTTTAAGGAGAGTGGTGAAGGTTAGAAGTAGTTTTGGAAGACAGCGATGTTCATGTTACAGATAAGGAAAACTCTTGGAGAAACTTTGAGTCTGACACAGTTTGGGCCAAGGCTTTATCATATCCTCAGAGTTGGAGAAAGCCTCCAAGAAATTCCAGGAGAGCTGGTTTTTGAGAAGGTGAATGGCTCTGGAGGTCATAGCCTCTTTGCAGCTCATTTTCCTCAACTCTTAAAAAGAGCCAAATAGTTCCTTAAGATGGCTGGCAATCGTAAGGGCTTTGCCCTTTCCCAAACCAGACACTTAAGTACATGCCATACTTCCCCAATATACAACATCATGATAAACAGGGAAAAGATTGAAGTTGTCAGGATCCACAATCAACACTCATGGAAGCAGCAGTCAAGAAATCAAACGATGTAGACCTATTGCATTGGGTAAATCTGCTGCAAAAGACCTCTTTAAAGTATTAAACAGCAAAGATGTCACCTTGAAGACCAAGGTGCGCCTGACCCAAGCCTTGGTGTTTTCAATTGCTTCATATGCATGTGAAAGCTGAAAAATGAATAAGGAAGACTGAAGAAGAATTGATGCCTTTGAATTATCGTGTTGCGAAGAATACTGAATATACTATGGACTGCCAAAAGAACGAACAAATCTGTCTTGGAAAAAGTACAGCCAGAATGCTCCTTAGAAGCAAGGATGGCGAGACTATGTTTCATATACTTTGGACATGTTGTCAGGAGGGATCAGTCCCTGGAGAAGGACACTATGCTTGGTAGAAGGTCAGTGAAAAAGGGGAAGACCCTCAACGAGACGGACTGACACAGTGGCTGCAACAATAACAAGCAAACAAGGATTGTGAGGATGGCGCAGGGCGGGGCAGTGTTTCATTCTGTTGTACATAGGGTCGCTATGAGCCGTAACGGACTTGACTGACAGGCACCTAATAACAACAATGACAATATATGTCCCCAGCTGCCTGAACTGTTTTCTGCCTAAGATTCACTTCCTTTCCCTTCTTCAGCCAGCAGATCAAAGCAAGAACCACATTTACAACCCTCTGTTTTTGTTTTTGTACATAGGGTCACTATGAGTCGGCATCGACAGCAACGGGTTTGTTTATCGTTAGTAATAAGTTACAGCATGTGATTTGCTGATGTTATTCTCAGATGTTCACTCAAAGATGTTCAGTTTTATGATTTACTGTTCAAAACACTGCCAGATTTATAAAGATACTGGTAATAAAAGGCAATAATAATGAAAACAAGCCAACAAAAACAAGTGAGGTATTCGACTTATGTCAGAATCGACTTAAGACAGAGTAGTCGGAACGGAACCTGTGGTAGGTCCTGTATTCTCTATAACCGTGGGCGTCTGCCTGACAAGAGTCTGTGGACAAAGCCCTTGGCTCCCAGTCCTTGTACCCTGTGGGGCCTAGCGCAGGCTGGCTAGTGCTGGCCTGGCCTCCAGGAACACTTAGTGGAATAGAAATCAATGTGATGGCATTTCTCCAAGTATCAGTTTCAATCCAAAAAATAGGATTTGCAGAGATAGTAGTGAGCAGTGCAGTGTAAGCACTTCATACATATTAACTCAGTGAATCCCATATTCACACAATGACGTGGGTTATCTCCATTTCACAGAAAAGGAAAAGACACAGAGAGGTTAAGTAACTTGACCAAGGTCAACAGCTCACCAGCTGAGCAGCCAGAGTTTAAAACGGGGACTCCGCGCAGCTGATGGCTGCTCTGACAGAGGTTTCAAAGTCTGAGGAGGGTTTGTCCCTTCTTCCCGTCTCGGGGCCGCGGATTCCCCACGTGGACGATCTCGCAGGCCCTTCGCGCTCGGACATTACCGTGTCTGGCTCCACCCTCAGCTGGCCCGCAGCTCAGCCCAGCGCCTCTTCAGGTCGTCGGTGACAAGCTCCGGGCTGTGCCCAGGGCCGGGGACTCACGGCCGCCGCTGTCCCGCAGAGCCTAGCCACAGGAGACACCTGTCCCGAGGCAGGGGGCTGTCGTCGCGAGGGCGCCTCTGGGTACTGCACCGCGCGGCCCTGCGCGCCCGGGGAGGCACTGCCC